CCGCCCTCCCTCTCCCCCCTCCCTCTAGTCCAAAGGCTATGGGTGAGAGGGCTGAAGATGATGAAGAAGGTCCTCAGTCAACAGTAGGAGGAGCAGTAGGAGGACTAACCAATGGAGCCTGTCACTTACCTCAGACTAGCGGCAGTGTAGTCTCTCCTGACATGTGTTATTATTGTTTTGATGTTCTCTTAGCTCACTTGACCCAATCACCATCTCCTAGGAGCCCACACTTCTCAAACGATGAATAGTAATGATAATATTAAGAATAATAATAAATATTAATTTATAATATGTACATTTACATGTACGATATTACATGTATACATGTACAGTAAAATTCTGTTAGTAAAATACTATTTACCCCTCTAATTAATCAAGTAATTTCATACTAAACCTGATACATATTGCATGTAATGTATCGTGTACTTTCTTATACACAATAGAATTACTGTAAGCATCTAATTAATCTGTCGTATCTTTATTCTAATTAGTGCCCTGTTTGTCACCTGGAAGATTGGACGTGAGAGGCGTCTAAGAGGTTGTATGGGAACCTTCTCCCCTAGGAAACTCCACCGAGGTCTGTCGGAGTATGCACTGATCAGTGCAGTGAAGGACAGTCGGTTTGATCCAGTGGTGATTGAAGAGCTACCAAGACTGGAGTGTGGGATATCATTACTGACACATTTTGAAAAGGCTGAGAATTATCTTGACTGGGAGGTGAGGGAGCAATGGTAGAGTTTATTGAATAATTAATAAATTTAAACGATTAATACTACATTATTCATTAATAATATTATTGTACTTAAAAATTTAGTATAATAGTACAGTTTAGTCAACTAATATTTGATATTAGATAGATAGATTAGATAGATGTCCATACATGTACATGTACATGTACACATGTAGTTGTTGAATTCAATTTTTTTCCATTAGCAAGTATGATTAAAAGAGTCACGTATTTCGATAGTAATAGCACAGTTTAATCAACTAGTATTTGATTTGGTAAAATTGTTAAGAATGTGGCATATTTTAATACAAAATTGGTGCTACAATTTTTTTAATTGCATGATCCTTTTATGTGAAAATTAAAACGTTCCTTTTGCTTCTCTCAGATCGGTACCCATGGGATCCAAATTGAGTTCTTGGACGGTAAAACTCTCCGCAAAGCGACCTACCTACCCGAAGTACCTAGAGAACAAGGCTGGACTAAAGACCAGACCATAGACTCACTCCTTCGCAAAGGAGGGTATCGGCATTACGTGACTAAGGAGTATCGATCAAGTATCAAACTGATTCGATATCAAAGTGAGAAATGTGTCGTGACTTACGATGAGTATATCAAAACAAAGAGACGTCATAAACCATATTGAAGATGGCAGCAATCTCCTCCTAATATTATAGAAGTAATTATTATTATTATTATTATTATTATTATTAATTACACGCACCATTTGTAGTATATGATATGCAGTTTATTAAAGAAGCTAGCAGTTATTAATTATTTATAACCACTGAACGCCCAAATTCTGTTATACATTAGCTAGGGATACATTCGATTTATATTTATACTAATAATAATTATTATTATTA